GAGATTGACACTTCGGGGTATGGTGCACAAAGTGCATTTTGCTTCCATTCTCATGCTTTGCTATTCTACTGATCTATTTTACCAGTCTTGCGCAATGCAGCAGGCTAGCAATGACTATGATCATAATTAGGCTTAACACAGTTTTTGTCAACAAACATCTTTTGATGTAGGAACCCTTGTGCTCCTCTTAACTTATGGTTTCTTTAAGGATTCGAAGATTTGATATTCTTTTCATGTTGATGAATTATGTCAATAATGATAGTTGCGTGATTTGCTTGTACTAATAAGTTGATTTCTTTCACATGTTTCTGAAATTTAATGATGCTATATCATCTTGGAAATTGTCATACTTTTTGCATCTCACATTTGATCTTCTTTTGTCTTGTATTTCATTTGCGCCACGTATAATGATTTGAGAAAATGGTTTATTCTTTTATTGTGTTCTGATATTAACTAGTAGATGCTTATGCGGTTTCATGTCCGCATAGTGTCTTGCATGTCACTTCGTAGAAATGCATATACATCTGTGTGCACATTAATAGATGTTTAGTTATTAGTATTTACTTTTTTTCACTAATAATTTTTAGTCAAGATTGCAATCAATGCCCGAAGGAAAGATGATTCAATTCCAAACGCATCATAACTGCTCAAATTGAGAAACATTCTAAGATACGTGAAATTTATGTTTTTAACAGAATAAATTTTGAGCAAGTTTTGAAACTGATCAGAATTTTAAAAAAGAAAAAGGCTTTTCGAGTGGTCAACTACTTGTTAGCTGCTGCATGAAACAGATCTGCACTTGTTGCCTTGCAAATTTGTTCTCACAAGTATTTTTAAATTGTATTATTACTGACATCCATAAAATGGTCCTTTTGATGCTTCTGGATGATCGGCTGATTCTTTATTTAGGCACCTGAGTTGCACATGGAAATCCACAAGCATGGTTCCCTTCAACAGGCTATGGGCACAGCCCCTACAACGTCAAGTGGGACAAAGGTATTGTGTAGATTGTTCATATGACTTATATTTCTGCTGTTATTATGCCGATAGCTTTGGCAATTAACCTTATTTTTCTAGTAATCTAAAGGCCCTTAACTCCCATTATCCCAATGCAAAGGATATTTTTAGAATTTCATTTAGAGCATTAGGCATCTGCTTCCTTTTATTTGGCCTGATGGGTTTTTGATACCTTTCCCTCAAACAGTGGCTTTATGTGGTAGTTAGAATCCCAAGGCAGTAGTTGTTACTTTGCTTCAATGGGTTTTCAAAGATTAGGTGGTTGAGTTCAATTTTATGTTTAAGCACGGGACATTTATGCCTTCGTCATTTTTCAGTATCTTTGCGCCATAATGCATACTGATGAGCATGCAGTTATGTGATTTACATGTATACTATTCTTTTTGGTGTAATTGAGTTTCCACTTCCTTCTTACCAACTTGAAACAGATAACTAAGGAAAAACGGAAACAAAAGATGCAGATAAAATCTTTGGGGAAAAAGATTCTAGACTGATTAGGAGGATGAAATGAAACATAGACAGAGCTGTTGGAACTAGCAGTTTGCACCATTTTCATCTAACATCCATGAGTCGTCAAATAGCCAAGATTTATTCTAGGAAGACACTATGATGATTTGGTGACTTGAGATGGAAGGTTTTTGTTTCACTTTTGGTGATTTTTTTTTTTAAATTAAATGCTATGTATTGTTCTTTTCGCAGCCAAGTGCCAAGAAAAAGAAGAGCAGCGACCTCAAGTATGACATTTTTGGATGGGTAATCCTTGCTGTTGGGATTGTTGCATGGGTGGGGTTTGCAAAATCCCATGTCCCGCCACCGCCTCCTAGATAAGCTGCTGACAGCCTTGTACCTGTATAGGCTGAAGATACCCGCATGAAGCTTACATGTTGATGGGGGATGAAATCTGTGGTGGTGGATTCCTAGTTATCTTTACGGTTTTCTTCTTGAGTAAAGCTTTTGCCCATATAGACCCTCTTAGTTAATTGACAGCACTTAGTAAATTTCAATCTAGATTTTGCTTTAGGCACGATTAAGCATATGATATGTTAAATTTTTGCTAAACACTTTTGGTTTTGGTATATCTTTTCTCTCTCTCTCTCTCTCTCATCGTGGCATGCATCTTCTGTTGGGGTACGTGCGGAGTTTACAAAGTGTTTGTATTCCTTCATTTCGTGCTCTCTTTTGTGTTGGTGCGATGATCAATGAGTTTCCTGCCTTTATGGAAATTAATGAGCGATGAGCAATAATGTCTGCATTCATGGTTTCATTAAAAGCTGGTTGCTGTTGAGGGCGAAAGGGGTCGACGGTCAGTTCATAAATTGTAGGCTGAGCGCCTAAAGCTAAAGGTAGGGTCTTACAAATTGCTACGTCTTCCGTTTAACTTGGCTTCAAAATTTACCAACAATCGAAACTTCAGGCTTCAAGCTCTCAGTTTCTTCTCCACCTGTCTCCTCAATCTGTCCACCACCATTTTGAACACTACCATATTTCTTGCCTCCCTTCTTCCACTGAGCATCACCGATCCTTGCCACTCTCTCACCACCTGTACCCCTTTTCCCCAAATTTGTGAATTCCTCGGGCTCTCCTCTCCCCAAAAATCAGAAGATTCTCCTCTCGCATGATGTTTTTTCAGTAGATCTAGTAATCAAAGAAAAGGCGGGATTAATGGCTTTCTTCCTCTCTTCTTCTCCTCAATTTTTTCAGCCCATTTTTCTTTTGGTCTGTTTTCTCTCTAAAGTTGAAATGGATGAGAATATGATTGTGTTCCTAATGATTTGCGTCTTTGCTCCAAAATCGCTTAGTTCAGTATACATAAATATGATTCAAAAGGCAAAATTGGTTATAGTAACATAGGAAAAAAAAAAAAAGAAATGAAAAAGAGAAGTTGCATGTCTGATTATTTACTGCACTGATGGAGTTGGGATGTTTTCCGTCAACCATCAGGAAGAAAGACGGGGAATAAAAAGAAGGCCGTGGCCATACAACGAGTCTTGGGAAGAAGTTCCGTGATAGTTGGTATCGTTTTGGGCTTTCAAATGCAGAGGGGTTGAGATGGAACACAGAAACGGGAAAAAGCTTCTGCCTCAATCTAGGGTCCGAGAATTGCTTTTGCATATTTAGAATACATATTGGCGACGTGGTAAGTTATGGACCGCTCGGTCTACAAGCGGAGACGTGTATCGGGTCTACCCAGGTTTTTGTCAGTACATAAAACATGAAACCTGCAGGTGTCGGAGTTTGGAGGTGTCGCTGAAGTGATGAGCTATCCCATATTCACAAAAAGAGAAAAAGTGATGAACTATCCTATTTTTTTTTTGTCAATTTCAAGAAATCTGACTATTGACTTTACAAACATAAGTCCACAGTACACCTCAAAAGCCATGGTAACTAGTGAGGGTACTGAGGAGACTTATAAACCCAACACCCAAACCCATTAGGCAAATAATCTCCAGTACAAACACACTACTATCATTACAATTTTCAATACACCTTTTTATCTTCCCAATTACCTGTTTATCTCACATACATTACATCACAAATAAGCTCAACCAAATAGGATAGTTCATCACTAGTTACCATGGAGACATATCTCAAATAATTTACATTTCTAACAGGTACTTATACATAATTAAAATTATTTCAATCCTTGTTTCTCGATATTTTCTCAAATTAATTTTTCAATCCTTATACATTTTTTGAACAGAATAGGTTATTTACACTCAACTTTTGTTGTTTATACTCTCGTTACTTGTTTTATCATATAATATAATAAATAAAAATTATGTGATTACAATGACATTAGAAGTGTGATTCTAGAAAATGAGTGTAAATAATATTTTCCTTTGGAAAATAACACCAAGATTTCTTATATTTAGATATTTTCTTAAATTAATTACTCCCTCTATCGCAAAGTGGGACGGATGGAGTATGCTACTTTGCAAAATAACATTTGAGGCCTTTATTATTGGATGTTTAATTGACACGCGTTAGTCAGATTGTTTAAAAAGCCTCTAAAAACATCCCGTAGCATTTTGTTTTTTTGAAAAAACTCCACTGTCCAAACAAAAAATTTGCTTTAGTTTCGTGGTGGTTTATCTATTTTCATTTATTCTCTGATTTCGTTAGAAAGGGCGATGGCCAAAAATTAAGATATATTCTGGAAAAATCAAAATTCCATCGAAAAGAAGCAAGTGAAAGGCTTTCATAAAAATTCTCGTAGAATCGAGAATAAAGCTTTCATTCTATATATGTCAGATCATGAATTAGTAACTGCATCCAATTTCCAAAAGAGCTGGTATCGAATGAGATAGTTGGACATCTCAACGTGTACAGGAGAGATGAGATGAGATTTGAGTAATGGTCTTTTTCGATTCAAGACTCAAGCTCAAGTAATGCCAACAGTGAAGTTGAATAAAATAGCGCAACGTTACTTGTCTCTATGGAAGAGATATTACCTGATAGTAAAGTCGAGACGATTTTGAAATGTAACACTTTATCTATACAATAATATAATAATAAAGAGAGAGACGTGGCAATTGGATCTTGAAATAAAAATTCTATGTTATTTTTTGAACTTTTAATTTGAATTTTAAAATAATGACACCAAATTACAACTTCATTGGATGCCCTTAATACTATTATTTTAAATTCATATTTGTTAGTGTAAGTGAAAGATCTCGAACTTATTATTTTACTTGCATTCTCTCCTGATATACCACCCAATCCATTATTTCCTCTCATCAACAACTAGGTGGTAACACCGCGCTGTGCGCGGTGGTATACATGCTCAATTAACGTTTAGCTAGTAATATTGGCGAAAATGAAAATTAGTGGTAGAAAATTGAGCTATATCATACAGGAATTTGAGGAAAAAATTAGTAGTACTGGAAAGAAGTTGTAATTATACAGACATTGTAAATATGAAAAGCAAACAAGTTTAGTTTTCATCTTGAATGTTTAGGTTGTGGAAGTTGAGCTGATGAATGCCTAGAAGATCATGCAAAAAGTACGAAGTTATAATGTTGAACGCAGTTGCTCGAGACAGCCTGATTGTTAAAGGAGAAGGTTGAATGCAGCAAATAAGTATTCTTCCGTGCAATTTAAAACAGAGCACTTACCCCCAGTCATATAAAGAAACAGCACGAACAAGGAAAGCAGAATCTGTGAGGTCATACAATTCAACATCTCCCCTTTTTGTACCCACAACAAGAATTTGTTGCTCCGAAGCAACTGGGGCACATACAGCATAACCATATGCCAGTTTCTTTTCAACTTTAATTAAATCAGCTTGCTTTAATCCTTTCTTACTTGCAGAACATGACACAAGTTGTTCATCACAAAAGAGCAAAAACAGTAACCTCAGTGAGAAGGAAAACTCCATGTGCACAATAGCAGACTTCTTCCTTATATAATTCATGGGCAGAGAAACACCTTGTGCTCCATTAGAAGGAAGACCATTGTCCAAAGAATGAGACAATTTATCAGCTCCACTTCCATCAGAGAGTGAAATGTCAAGATCAACAACCCCACAGAACTGCATCACAGAATAAGTTAAATGATAACCTGATTGAACCTTTTTTAGCGGGAGATGCGGGTTTTTGGATGCTTTCCAATCTCCATTAACATCATCATGTTAAGCAAGTAGAAAGGGAATAAACACAACATTTTATAATTGTGCTAAAAAATGAATTCAGCACCTAAGCTACAAATATGCTTCTTCAATGTGCATTTGAAAGACATGGAGGAACTGCTACATTCACATTACCTCTCCCTTCCATGATATATTATACAATGATCCATCAGAAAGTCCAACAATCATATGTTTGTTATCACAGATAATGTTGCTCCTGACAACAGCAAAAATAAAATAGTATCAGAAATTCATCTGGAATGAAATACACAAATATATCAGATTGTCAAACATCATATAAATTTCAAACTTCTGGACACAAATATATCAGATTGTCAAACTTCTGGATCCCGTTTCTTACAAAAAAAAAAAGCACTTATATGAACTTATGAATTTCTCTGGTGATTTGCCTCTAAGGTATGTGAAATATAACCAAAAACCAAAATTTTGGAGTATCAACATTTCGATTATATCTTGATCCTTTGAATTGAGTAGATTCTTGCGCATGTAAACATGTAACCACGATTCCTTTTATCAGATTTACTACTCAATGATAAGTTGTACTTGGTGAAACACAACCATCAATCTATAGCAGGAAAGGACCTTATTAGTAATATCACATGCACAGAAGTCCAAAAGCTTAAAGCTTAAAATATGCAACTGAAAAGTACCTCATAACATCAGTTGCAGTGATGTCTGAAAGCTGAAAGCTTATCTACACCAATATATACACACGCACACACACACACACACATATATATTATGACAAGATCTTATACTATAACTGGCAACTTAGCAGATCTTTCTTCTAAAGGTATACTGTAAAAACATTAGTGGCTTGTGTAAACAATTCCGCAAGCCTAGACATTCATTAACATGCAAGATCTTATGAGATCTTGTTCCCTATCTAAAGTAACCCTTTGACATATTGGCATTAAAAACTATAGCATGTTGACAAATATACAAATGAAATCCTTCATCTCCAAGGTCCAAATTTCTGGGCCAATAAAATACAGAAAATGAATTTCAGCCCTGAGGTCTCAAATACGCACATTTTGTATCTGTATATCAGCCCTCAAAACCAGCAGTGACCCAAACCCCAAGAAAACATCAAGCTATTAAAAAGAACAACAAAAACAAATCATAGTAGAAAGTGCAGTTTCTTTATTACAAATAACTTTAACGATGACATTAAAGCAGACACACTAATTTTTAAGAAAACTCAAAAGTTTCAAACAATGTCTAATCATTCATCACTCCGTATCCAAACTTCTTATACTAAATAAAATCATTTTTGGATTAGAACATTAAAGCAGACACACTAATTTTTAAGAAAACTCAAAAGTTTCAAACAATGTCTATTCATTCATCACTCCGCATTCAAACTTCTTATACTAAATAAAATCATTTTTGGATTAGAGTGTTGTTGAAACAAAATAGCACCGGACACTTCAGCATATTCAGATATGTACAAATTTTGGAGGCTCATACAACTTTCAAAAAGCCTAACTTTAAATTATGAGTTTTACCTGGCGAAAAGGTTTAGTATCTAGAATAGACACAATAAATTTTAAGAGCTAGGATATGTACCCTTAGAACCTAAAAGGTTGAGTTTCAAACACCTGGAAAATGATTTAAGAATCCCTGGTAACACATCACATCCAACTGTCTGACTACTTTTGAGAAGCAGTATGATCACAGCTAAACATTCAAGAAGACCAGAGGGATGCAAGGTGTCCAATTGGTTATGCAAACACTTAGAGCAGCATTTACCTTGCATATGCAATATCTTTCCATCAAATTGTACCAGAAAGCAGAATGCATGCATTAGACCTTCCAAATAACATTTTATATAGCCTGCAATCCTTACTGCAGCTTCCCAAAGAGCTTTGATCTTAGAAAATAAGCCATTAGCATATCAAAGCCCTTAAATGTTATGATCCAAACAAATTGCTAGACCATATTATTTTACTGCTTGGGTTGTTAGAAGCTTATACAGCAAAGCATTTCAAATTTAATGCATATTCAAAACAATATTCAGCCATCAAAGAGGGAAATGAAAACTGCGAAGCTTGAAATTCAATTACAATTTCCAAGGGAACTGTGTACGCACACTTACAATGTCATACTCTTGCCTGCAAAAGGGATCTGCTCACTTAGAACTAAAGAAATGGTAGCAAGAAATAAATCGGATGGCTGCTTTCCTAAAATTTGTATTTTATTTTCTGTGAAACGGATCTTATAAATATGAAGATAAAAAGAAGATGTCTGCAAAGAAGGCAGGAAAAATCGCCAGAAACAAATGAAGCATTACGTTATGAAGAATGAACCAAAGTAGAGGTGCTATCGAGCCGAGTCGAGCTCTATCAAAATTTGTGCTACTCGAGCTCGATTGAGTAAAAAAATTTGGACTCGAGCTCGACTCGATGAAATAAAACTAAACTCGAGCTCGACTCGTTTGAGCTCGAATAAGCTCGAGTAAATATCAAGCCCGAGCTACTCGAGTTCGAGCTCGAGTTTTGAAATAAATCTATAATTTTTTTAAAAAATATATAGTATATAATAAAATATAAATAAAATATGAAAGCTCGATTAAACTCGGCGAGCACTCGAGTACTTATTTATTGAGCTCGAACTCAACTCGTTAAATTTAACGTGTAACTCGAGCTCGATTTTATCGAGTTCGAGTCAAGTTTTTGATCAAACTACTCGCGAGCAGCTTGACTTGCAAAATCGAGCTCGAGTCAAGTTTTTGATCAAACTACTCGCGAGCAGCTTGACTTGCTAGCACCCCTAAACCAAAGTGCACAATAGTGACATGAATTTAAAGTGAGACTTTTTAGCCAACCCTTTTTGAAAGATAAATGAAAGATCACAGCTATTTACATTTTAATACCATTCCAATAACAGCAATCAACCAGCCTTGCAATCATACCAGTCTACTTTCAATGTCATGTATCAAATGTTTTACTCTAACAGTCACTGAAAAACTCAAAATTCTCCTCATTTTAAACAACGGTCAACATGGATACTGTTGATGCAGCTAATGCAGATCTGCAAAAAGTCATAATAAAAATTTCTTTGTACTGTCAATCAGAGAGTCATAGAGAATACAATTTATCTGCAATTCTTCAAATATCAGTCCCAATTATAGGGCAACATCACTATATTTTGCATGGTAACACTCAGTTATAGATAGCCTTAAGTTCTATTATAAGATCACCATAAATTGGATGAAATTTTCACTTAGACATTTTCTCAAACAACTCAAATGCACTACACAAAATCACTGGATTCTAAGGTCACAACTAATGGACCACTCTAAGGCCACAACTAAGGTAAATCACAATCTATCAAAAGCTATACCACATCACTCAATACTAAATACATCTACCATTATCAACGTCCTCAAAGAAAAATCTCCAAACACTTCGCAGCCCGAGGCATATCTTCTATCACTACCTCAAACTTTATCACAATTCCATGAAAGCCTTCATAATACATATACCATAGCTTTAATAAGAGATTATCCATTTTGAAAAAATGCTGTTCAAGGGATTTTGACAGATTTCAAAGAATTTATTTTTCCATGAGAACAGTGAAATTGACCAAAACTATCATGGGCATGCGATTAGTAGTTTTCAAGTACTCTTGGATCACTTAACGTATCTGTGAATGTTTCCAAGTGGATAGACAAAGACAACACAAACAGTAAGTTTTCACAAACTTTTCACTATAAAACACAATGCAAAAGACAAATAAACCATGTATTGAAATTCAATAGTGAAAGACGAAGAAGTAATAATACGCAAATATATGTATATATATGTATATGTAAGCAGAAGATAAAGAGCTGGATTATATTGGATTCCACTACCATATGCTTCAATTAACATTAGGCTATATGTAACTTTTGTTTGGCTCACTTATCTTTTTCCGTAGACCCAAGTTTAAAAATAGATAATTAATTAAAAAAAGCATCGCATTGAAAAACCCACTAAGAGGAAAATATAAAGGGCAAACCAACTATGAATGAAATTAGCATTAGAAAGTTTTGGATGATGCAAAATGAAACCAAACCACTTACAAATAACAAAACTGAGAGATCAAAAAACACTTACAAATATTCAAAGGAAAGCAATGTCAAAGTAAGACTACGAGCAGCAACAAAACCAATAACTAAACAAGACATTAAAACCTTTAACCTTCAATAAAAAGGAAAAAACGAAGAGAAAGTAGAAACTTGGAGGTATAGTTTAGCATAGAATTAGAAAAATGATTCAAAAATAAACTAAAGAAAAACTCAAACTTAAAAAAGTTAAATCTTTTTTGCTCCTTCCCGTCAATTTTACTTCAAAAAATAAAAGAACCAGGTTTATCTTCCTTTCATCTGTTGACACTATCTGCTCTCTGTACAATAGAGGGAAAAATTGTGAATCGAATGGAATAAAAGAGAAAATTCCTTTCACAATAATAAAAAAAAAAGTTATCAATCAAATCTCTAAAACCATAAATGAAAACATAAAAGTATGAAAAGTAAGTATATCAAACACGGAGTTCTAAATTCTTGGCTCAAAAAAAAGATTTATTACCTTAGATCTCTTTCCTTCGTCTGTATTATCGCCCATCTAAAGAACACTTGCTTCAAACATAAAAAACAGCAATGAGTAAAATACATAGTTAGATCGAAGAAAGAACGAAAGAACTGAAAAAAAAGAACTCCAAGCCCTTCTTTGATACAAATAACGATTTACCAAAGCAAACGGAAGCACGAGTATTTTATTGGAGGAAAAAAAAAGAGGAAGAACTGGAAAAGAGACAAGCTACTGAGAGGAAGAGAAGAAAGAGAGGGACAGCAGAAGTCTTGAGAGAGAGAGAGAGGACAGTAAATTTTGTAACCCTAGACCATTTGTGACAAAAAATCGAAGAGAGGTGGGTGTGATTTGACATGGGCAGCTGTTTGCAAGAGCAACTCACCTGCTCTCTGACAACAGAGGAAGAGCAAGAAACAAAGAGGAAGTCAATTGTCTGGCTGAAACAGCCTTAGGGTCTGGCCGAAAAGGGAGAAAGAAGTGGACAGAAAGCAACACAGTAGCAAAAACAAGCGGAAGGAAAGATGAACGAATGAGAGAGGAGAGAAAAAATCAGGTGCAACCAAGGTAAATTTTGGAGTGGAAACAACACCAATATGTGGCCGGAAAAAAAAGAAGCAGGTTGGAGTGGGTAGAGAGGAAGCTGATGAAGCGGAAGGAAGAAAAGACATCACAGAACCGGAAGCAACGAAAGACAGGACAAAGGAAGGGGAGGCAGAATCACGTGCAACAAGCACAATTGACAACTAATCAATTCGCGCCACGTCAACATTGAGCCAATCCCATCTCGCCACGCGGAGGATGACCATGTCCGACGTGGATCCCGAGCGTTCACCCTTAGTCTATATGTTTAATAATTGTTATTATTGATGGAGAAAGATTTTCTTTTCTATTATTTTCTTCCTTTTTTTTGTCATAGTAAATGTCAGATTACTGGGCTGGGGCGTGACCCGTGACACGTCCTGGATCCTACTCTGGTCCACCAAGGTTCAGATTTTAAGTTGCAAGCAAAACTCTCACCGTCAAAGCTACAGACGCCGATACTCGTTACTGGTTCTGCAGAAAGAACCCGGAGAACAATTTTGTCGTCTTACTCCATAACACGATACCAGATTATGGGCTTTGGCTAGAGGAGTAGAGCTTCAAAATTTCTGGAGAAAAATTTGGTATGGCGGCCGAAGCGAAACTCGTGTGCAGCTGTGGTGGGGACTCGGCAGCTGGCTTTTCCTTCCGGCGGTCGTTGAGTCCGCTACTAGCCAGCAGCCGCGTGTTTTTCCCGAATGTGACTAGTGATCAGAGGAGACGTCAGTTGACGGCGTTAGCAGTTGTGAAGAGAAGCCCCAAAAGGATTAAGTACTCTGCGCCTCGCTTCACCAAGGTTTTCCATTTGTATCTCTAATGATCTTTTATTTATTTATTTATTTTTGGGTTTAATGGTGTCCTGGGCTAGAATTAGCAGTCGTAGTAAGTAGGACTACACCAGCGTGTTTAAGTGTATGTGATTCGCTACTAAGGTACGCCACCCCGGGATCTTTGTAATTTATATCTCCATCCGTGCGGTGATGACCAACTCTCTGGGCACAGAAAGAGGGTTAGACAGCTGCATGAAACTAAACTCACGGACCAATAAATTTAATACTCCTACTATGTACTGTTAAAATTACAATTACAGCTACTGTACTGGTATATTATAGGGATAATTTGCACTTCTTTCAGGAGGATGGCTTGACCTATGTTGCCGTCGATCCATCCGGGTCAGACTTGTGGAAATTGGATCCAGTGATTGACCTTCTGAAACAGGGTGCTGTTGGAGTCATTCCAACTGACACTGTGTATGGCATATTCTACCTTTCTACATGTTTTCTTTCATTAGCTTCTTGAGTCTTGACTATGCTTGTGGCTCGTGAACAATCTCCAAAAAAAAAAAAAAAAAAAAAAAACCCCTTCAACAAATTAGAAGGCTAGCTACTCAATGATTGACTTCAGCTTTCCAATTTGTTGTCTGCTGATTATCTGTATCACTCTTAAGATACTTTTAATTGCCTAGGATTTATTGGTGGATGTAATTGGTTTATTTTTGTGATGTGATGCAGACCCAAAAGAAATTCCTAACATCATCTAATTTACCACACGGCATTTCATCTTTTAAAACCTATAAGATTTAAGCTAATTAAATCTAGTTTCTTCTTTCTTAATTGGTTATTGTTCTTATGCATGGTCCTCTGATGATTAGTTATGCATTGGCTTGTGACCTGAGAAGCCACTCAGCTGTTGAACGTCTTCGTAGGTGGGTGATGCCACTTTCTGCAATTTACCCTTTTTTGCTTTTGCCTTGGGACTTTTCTTAAATGATGATTTTCTTTAATCTTTTTGCAGACTAAAGAAAATAGAGGCTTCAAAGGTAAGAACGATCATTTCTTTTAGCTTTCTTCTGGAACCACTTATAGGATAAAGACTGACATTTGATGGGTTTTGTAGAATATTGTGCAACTAGATGGTTCAAGCATGCATATGTGACTCGGCATATTATTGAGATTGCAGTATGCTGCATGTTCTGCATTTCAAGATGTTTGTTTCTGAATTGTTGCCAATGCTTTTCTGATGCTTTTGGCAGCCCCTTAGTATTCTATGCCGTTCCTTTCACGACATAGATACATATACAACTGGATTTCCCCGTGGCAATAACCAGGGCCTTACAGACATCTTTCGAGCTGTTAAGCAATGTTTACCCGGTCCCGTAAGTCGAATTCTTTTAGTTACTTTGTCCTTGTTTTATTTATTTATTTATTTTGGATTGATTATTTTGTCCTTGATAGAGGCAATGTTATGCATGTCCTATTATGAAAAATCTTTCACTTCTATAAACAAACTCAGACGTTTTCCTATGAGTTTGTTCATAGAGTAACGTTTAGGCATTTCCTATGTGTTTTTAATATCCTTCTCTGGTTTTTTTTTTCTTTTTTAGGGTTTTGAGTAGGAATAGAGCCATTTTTGGTGGTATAATTTTGTTCTTTGACATTGAATCTTCATTTAATCTGAAAGCACCTCTGTTGACATTGGTGCTGGCATAGGAATGTGTCAGATTTGGTCACATCACTTGGGTGCTTTGACTTTAAATGGGGATCTTGGAACTTAAAAATCCGCAGTATGAACTACTATACAGCCTAAGTATCCTTGTAAGGCATCTTAGTACTAAAGAACAACAACAAAGAAATTCTACCTCCAACATGTTTGTTGTTCTCGTTAACAAAATCAGTAATTTAGCTATATGGAGACCAAGTGGGGTATTACACGCATACAGAGTTTTTTGCTACTATGAGCGTTTTCATGTACTATATACAAATTCCATATCTAAGCTTTTGCCCATCGCTGAGTGTTTTCTATAGAACTTGACAAGTGTACTCGTACCCAATATGGACACCTGAGTCCATGTGAATAGCTGATGGATGAGTGCTGCTTTCTTTGAGTACCCTAGATTCCTAAAACATCAAAACTGGAGGTAATCAGTAGCAGAATCTCCATTTTTTTTGACATGCAGTACACTTTTATTTTAACTGCGAGCAAAGCTCTACCGAGGCAATGTACAAGATATGGAACTACTGCATCAAAGTATGTATCAAGGAAAAATGTAGGCGTTCGTATACCAGATGATACCGTGTGCCAAGCAATTCTGGAGAAGATGGATGCTCCTTTAATAGCTACAAGGTAGTTTGGCATGCTAGGCACTAAGCTATGATCTGATGAGATTTTCAAATTGAGTGTCAATATAAATATGCATGTGATCTTTTTTTGACATAACCTGACATTCTGCTCATTGAGATTGTATTCATCTTTCCAGTGTAAAATCAATGAGAGAGAGTGAGTGGATATTGGATCCTGTTGTGATAGCTGATGTTTATGGGCCAGAGGTGAGCTTTTCTAGTGATACTTGATTGTCGTTTTGTTTCTAGTTGCTCGAATCAGATTGATTAGACCGTTTCATTGGTTGTTATTGCACCCTCTACTTTACCTGATCGCCTCCTGATTCGCCAAAAAAATCAGAAGAGAAGGAAAAATGAAAAAATTGGAAGAAAGAAATCTTGTGACTGGGATGTAGAGGTTTGTGACATATTTTGTTCACTCAGTTGCTATGGTAACATAGATTTTGAGCTAAGGTCCCAATTCCAAAGTTTGCATCCCCTTTTCACCACACTGGGAATTTTTGGTATATTTATTTAATTTTCAGTGTCTATGATGCTTTAGGGCCTTGATTTCATTGTTGATGCTGGTATTAGAGTGGCTGACCCATCGACAGTGGTTGATATGACTGGGAGTTCTGCCCTGATTTTGCGGCAAGGAAAGGTAAAGCCTCTTTTGACAAATTGTTGTAAGGTAGATAGTCTTCTTCTCTCTGCCTTCCCTGAGATGACACCTGATCTCACTGGAGCATGCAAGTTCCATGTGCTTTCTTGCTGAATTAAATTAGGGAAACATCTCTGGTTTCATATTTCATTCTCACAATAGACTTTTTCTGCCCCATAGGATATACTTCCCACTTGGACAACTGCCCAAGGATGAAAAAGTGACTTTACGGATACTAATTTGAACTTCTATGAATGAAACTAAATGCTAGAGATGCAGAAGCGTCAAAAGACAGACTCAAACTTTGACAGGACAGAAAATATAGGATACTGGGTGTTCGTAATTATGGCTGTTGTTTTCTGTACCTATCCGCCTCGAATTATGCGCCATTCTATGCTCTACATATCAACCTTTTCCTTAGTCCTAATTAGAGTTAGGATCTTTGCATATATAGATAAACACACAGAAAAATATCATTCAGATACTTGTTATCTAGTTTGATCTCAAAAGTCAACCTTTGGCTAATTGTTGCCCTGGTTGTTTGGAATCAGGCGTGTCATAAACAATATGGATTATGTCGTCCATCTCTTCTCCACCTTTTTAGAGCAAATGCATGATTTCTTTCTTCTGAAGGATTGTAATTGTGAATCTTGCTGTGCTTGAGATTTGATTCTCCTTTCTTTCAGTCTTAGAAGCATATTTCTTATTTTGTGTTCAGGGTCCAAAACAGCCATGGATGGTTTCAGATGATGAAGATTCTGGAGTAAAAAGGAAAGAACTCACCCTTAATTTTGTTTAAAGTCACTAAGACCTCATCAAGGGAAATCCTGTACATAATACAATGATGTTGGGCTGCTAATGAAAAGGTTGTAAATTGCATCTAAATGGATTTTGTTAGCAGTGGTGGCAATGGGTATTTGCCCTTTTTTTGGGTCATACGTCAACAATTTATACCTACACATACACCTACTCCGACGACGTTATGGGAAAGGGGATAGCTGCAACTGGATTATTGGGAATTGGAGGAGACTAAACTACCTTCTGCTCTGTTGGTGACTTGTTTTGTAGCTGTTGCCTGTTGCCATGGAATGGCACAACGAGGAGAGGGTACCAGATTTTCTTGTGTGATTCCAGTTTCTGGTAGAAGAGATCACAATAATGTAGGATCCAGCAACTATTAGTAATGGCGCCAAAATCATCCCAAATATTGCATTCAGAATAGTCAATTGGATTAGCGCTTCTGCTCTGTACTACTAAGAATAATCAAATAAATTATATCACCACGAACGATTTCAACTCAGAATGACGTGGAGTTAACCCCGTCTCGCCCGCCCAAGTTATTAAAAAAAAAAAAATGGAATGGTAGCAATTAATAATATAAGTCGCTCATAACTTCGAGAGGAGCCTCTTTCCCTCCTTAGCCGGGTCCAATGTTCTGTCAAATGTTTAAAAGAATTTCGAAGTTCAAAAGTTTCCCCAATCTTGTTGACCACGCTTCGTAACGTTCTTCTTTTTCTTCTTCTGCTCTTTTTTTTTTTTTTTTAAAATTTAAAACTCCTCATAGTCGTGTAGCGGGTAATGGCGCCAGTCTGGTTGGGTTCATTCCCCCGCAAGCTTTTCGTCCCAAAAACTCAAAAAACAACGCGCCAACCCATGAATTCAAAAAAAAAAAAAAGGAAGAAGAAAAATACCAGTAGTACTACATCTCTCCCGTCTCGTTTCCCTGAGGAGGATCTTTTAAATATCAAGGCAAACCCGCCCTTTCCTTCCTCAACCAACCATCTCTTCATCCCTCTGTTTCCCTCTTTCGTCTCATCCCTAGCCTCCGCCCTAATCACAAATTAGAAAAAAAAAAAAAAAAGAGGAAAAAAATGCCATCCCTCCCCTCCAAGAAGAGCCACTGCTGGCCCCAAACCCAGATCGATTCTGCATGTTCCCCATTCAGTACCCTCAGATTTGGGAAATGTACAAGAAAGCCGAGGCCTCCTTCTGGACCGCCGAGGAGGTGGACCTCTCTCAGGACCTCCGCGACTGGGATTACACCCTCACCCGGGCGACCGCCACTTCATCACTTACGTCCTCGCCTTCTTCGCCGCCTCCGACGGCATCGTCCTCGAGAACCTCGCCGGCCGCTTCATGAAGGAAGTCCAGGTTTCCGAGGCCCGCGCCTTCTACGGCTTCCAGATCGCCATCGAGAACATCCACTCCGAAATGTACAGCCTCCTCCTGGAGTCCTACATCAAGGACTCCGACGAGAAGCACCGGCTCTTCCACGCCATCGACACCATCCCCTGCGTGGAGAAGAAGGCCAAGTGGGCCCTCCGCTGGATCGACGGCTCCGAGTCCTTCGCGGAGCGCCTGGTGGCCTTCGCCTGCGTGGAGGGGATATTCTTCTCTGGGAGCTTTTGCGCCATATTCTGGGTGAAGAAGCGGGGGCTGATGCCGGGCTTGACCTTCTCCAACGAGCTGATCTCGCGGGACGAGGGGCTGCACTGCGACTTCGCGTGCCTGCTGTACGGGCTGCTGAGGGCGAAGCTGAGCGAGGAGAGGGTGAGGGGAATCGTGGCGGAGGCGGTGGAGATAGAGAGGGAGTTCGTGTGCGAGGCGCTGCCCTGCGCGCTGGTGGGGATGAATGGGGATTTGATGGCCAGTACATCGAATTCGTGGCGGATAGGTTGTTGGGGGCGCTGGGATGCGGGAAGGTGTACAATGTGCAGAACCCGTTCGATTGGATGGAGCTGATCAGCCTGCAGGGAAAGACCAATTTCTTTGAGAAGAGGGTCGGGGAATATCAGAAGGCGTCCGTCATGTCCAGTTTGAACGGAAATGGAGTCGTCGCCACCATGTCTTTAAGTTGGACGAGGATTTCTGAGAACCACCCCCCTCCTCTTTCTTCTCTCTCTCACTCTGTTTCAATTTTTTCATCATAGATTATTAATTCCTTCTTTTTACTCTGTTCACTTATCGTCATGTGTTTTTAGTTTTTGATTACTTGCTTACTACTGCTGCTACTACTAGTTTAATACGGCTACTGGATTTTGGTTAGAACTCCCAAAATAAGAACAAAAATTGGCTTAGGTTCAACTTCACATAATGTAATATTGGCAGTAGGTTGAAATTTGTGATGCTCGGTGGTTCTTCTAACACCTGCGTTGTAAGTAAAGTTTCCTTTAGTATATTACTAATTACTACTTTCTGCTCGCTTTGTTTCGATTTCTTTTTTGCATTGACAGCCGCCTTTTCTGTGCTTTGAGGCGGAGCGTTTACTGTTTATGGCGCGGTGCAAAATCTTTACTACTATTACAAATTAATCTCTTGGCTAATCGTACTCAAACATTAGATCCAGCTATTCTCTCTCTCCTTACTTCGAAGAAGTCGGGGCATTTTTACACGTTCTTGAAGAATCGATAATTATCCTTTAGCCAACCCAGCTTCCTTCATTTCTCGAGACCAACAAATGGTAGTACAGGAGCAGTCATTCATTTGTTGTCCATCCATTATGCCTTTTGGCCTGATCTTAGGCCGACTCCGGAGCAATCAACACTTTGGCTCCTTCCAGTTGAAGGCAAAAAATGGTGAGTACTAATAATTTTGGGACACTTCCTCGGAGATATGATGATTATGGTCCCTATTGAACTTTAATGATGGTGCGGCGCTTGGGTGGCTATACCAAATTTGGACCCCACTAAATTAATGATGATTTTTATGGGCAAGCGCAGCTTAGCTTTTTTCTTTTCTTTTTTTTCCTTCCCTTTCTGACTAAAACAAGCTCTGGCGCTTTTTTTTTTTTTTCCTTCGATCTTACATGTTGCCAAACATGTCGATAAGGGTTGATTCAAGATCTCTCCTAACTCATCTTTCTGTTGTAGATATTCATTTCCATATTACTACTGGGATATTTTTTTCTTAATGTCGCTTAAAGAAACAGAGAAGGGGGAATTTTTTATTCAAAAAAAAAAACTAGAAAATCAAAAGAGTACCAGAAGGAAGCTAATAATATATGTCAGGATGGACTAGCGGACCACGTTGCACCAGCCGGTTATTGAATTGAATGCTTTTTTTTTTTGTCGGTTGGGGTTGGATTGTGGAGTGACTTGTGAGGCGTGGCTGGAGAAGGGCATTTCATCCGCCAAGAAGACGCTGGCTCTGGCGGTAGATAGGTACTGGCAGCTGTTGGAGGGGATTGATTTCCTTCCTCCTCAGTCCTCCCTATTTCCCTCACTCACAACTACTGACATCTGAGAAGCCTGTTACTAGTGATTAGGTGCTCCCCATTCTCGTTGCCCCACCAGCATTCTCAAATATCAAAAGAGAGGCAAAATCGACGGACAATGTCAATCCCAGTCCCAGTTCCAGCGAGTGGTGCTGCCGCTTATCAGAGCTCCGGCATGCTATCCAGAGATCAATTACTTCACCTTTTTGACCGTTTCTCCTTTCTCACCTCCCGCCCCGGTACGTGCCAAGTCGACCACTGCCAAATTCCCAACTGCTACCAACGCATCACTTTCTTCACTTTCACGAATCACTCCCTCCTGCCTCTATGCTTCCATCACCTCTCTACTCTTCATTTTATATACTCTCTTACGCGGAGCCTTGGTCTGCTTTGGTTTATCATTCATGTTCTTGTTGCTCAGTTATACTAGTCGTATGTTTTTACCGTGTCTATGTGGGGCTATTTCAGATGTCAAGAAAAGGATAGCTGAAGCCGTCCTTGACAAGCAGGTAACTATGGCTTCTCATCTGATGCCGATTCTTGACTTCCTTTGCTATTTATTAATTTTGTGTTTGGGGATTTAGTTCTCGGAAAGGAGGAATCAATACACCCCAAAAAAAAAAAAAATTATGTTCATCCTTGCCGCCAACTCTAGATTGAGCGGAAAAGTTTGGATCTGATTGAACTTTTTGGTCTTTGGTAAAGTTTGCATACAAAAGCATAAAACCCCTTTGAAATGAAGTATCAATGAATTGATTTACTCTGTGGTGAACCCCCTTATTAATAAATTAATTGAATGCTTTCTCGCGGTGGTGATTCCTGCCAGCAGTTTGACTGTCATGTTACACAGAGTATACTGTGATGGTACAAAAACCTGATTCCATGAACCATATAACCAATAGGAACCTCATCTGCAATCTGCAGTAAAAAGTGATGGATGCACTTAACTTGGTTGAGCTTTGAAATCCTTATTTCATTTGATCCTTCCTGAGTAGTTGTGACTTGTCACTGCTATCGATTTTCTGGTATGACTGTTTGGGGATTTTAATTGCGGTACATATGATTGCCCTTGTTGACCTGCAATGTTACACAAGCAGGTCTCCTCCTGCCACACAAAAAGTGACTGCTTTTGCAACACAACTAGATGCTTCATTTATTGATTGATTTATTTAAGGGATGATATCTATTTCGAATGTTGCTTCTCATTGTTATTCATATGAAAGATGACAACACTCTTTTTCATTCTTGTAGCTTGTGGATCTGTTAGAAACTTCAAATGATAACTCTTAATAAACTCATCATCATGAAGTACAAATGAAATTTATTTTTTTCCGATAATGCATTAACTCATCATCATGAAAACAATTTGTCTTTTTTCGACGAGGTAGGAGATTGTAATTAAGGTTTCTTTTTACTCTATATTCTAGCTAGGGGGTTCTTGATTTTCAATTCTAGGTTAAGCTAGTACAAGTGACAATGGCATGCCAACTCTGAATATATACAACTAGTCCTTATCAGCATATTTGAAGTCTTTACTACCATAAAATACTTTAGTTTTGATTCTATTGCTGAAATAAATTCAGTTAAATAAAAATACTGATCAGACTTCTCATTTTATTCTTTTTTGTTTTGAATTCTCATTTTATTCATTAGTTCCAGTGGCCCAATCCTATTGTATGTATTCACTATCTGCAGGAAGCTGTTGCTGTAACCACCACGATTCAGGAGGAGATATTTCTGGAAATGGGAATTGGTGAGTTTGTCTTAAATGTGAGGAGTATTGAGCAATAAGTTCTTATTCTTGTCGCCTCATTGCAATTGATCAGTTCTAAATCTTAACAAACTCTCGGTAGTAGGAATTACTTTTATGTGTCTCGTTGGTTGTCTTTAAGTATTGCCCTTTGGCACTGTCCATGTAACAAAATGATTATAATTCAATCATCAAGTTTTGATACATGCACAAGTCCTATGATGGTGTATGATCCATCTTTCTTGAAATTGCAGACCCAAGATTTGGTCTTGCTTGCCTTGGGAAAGTAAATGTGGCTTATGAGAGTGATCAAGATTTAATGATCCAATTTTATGGATTTGTTGCAAAGTAAGCTCTCTCTATCTCTCTCTGTGAGTGTGTGTTTTTTTGTGGAGGGGGGGGGGGGATGGGGAGAGGGGGTGAGGGAAGGCATGGTTAAAAGTTCTATCAAAAGTTTATGATATCATTTTGGTGCTTGTGCTTGGATGAAACAAACTTCAGTTGATGCCTATCCATTGAAATCTTGAAAACCTGTTGAATAAACATGTACATGACAATTTTGTACTTATCTTTGGAGGAGACTTAATGAGTTCAGTTCTTTGACTGCTAAGGAGCCTTATGATCATAATTCTGAGTGGGGGAATGATCAATCAATCAATTTTTGATGAGAAATTTATTTGTAATGCTCTAACACCCATGCAAATTGAAAGGGAAGAGATGGCTTGTGAAGAGGCTGAGCTTGGACCAGAAAAATTTGCAGAAAGAATGCATATGCAACATAAATTACAAGAGCAGGTGAAGATTCTTTGACTTTTAGTTAGAATCCACTGGACAAAATGATTTTACAGAAACGTGAGGCTTAATACTTTTTGCAGCAACTGGAGATGCTAAAATACATGCGCAATTTTCATCTAGATGACCAGTCTGCAGTCCTGGAGAAGGTACGACTTGAACTCTTATATAAGCTATTGTTGCTTAACCACGATTCTTAGCTTGATATTTGGTAAGGTTGACTGTAATCAACCTAAAGTCATGCAGGTTTGAAATCCTTTGGAGATGTAAATCCTCTTCATTTGCATAAAACTTTATATTTATCTGCTAAGTGCCATTTTTTTTTTTTTGGGGGTTCTGTAGATTCAGCAGCAGATGGAGAGAGCCAATTTTGAGATAGAGGCATCAATTTTGTCTGAGGAACAGATTCAAGACATAGTTCGAAGGAGGGTATCGCCTGTTTTCCAGCTCAGATAGCCTAGTTGATCCAAATAGCTCCCTTCTTTTGGTTGTTCGAAATAGCCTAGTTGGTCGACATTGTTCAAAGGAGGGTATTCCTTGTTTTGCTTGGGCTGGAGGGTGGTTGTTGTTTCTTTTTTTTTTTGGTTTTGTGCTGTATTTTTGGTTGCTTAAGACCGACAGCCTAGTAATCCTCGTGTATTTTTTTTTTAAACTATCTTAACCTATTCCTACTAATATTTTATGGGGAGGGGAAGCCTAAACAGAGACTGGTTGCACTAGTACAGTCTCTCTGTATATTTTAAGAATAAGAAGCACTATGATTTTTGTGTGATGTGTTAGGCGGGGTTTCAACTCTTGACTTGATGCACAAAAACAAAGGAGTTGTTCTTGATGATTGGATTAAGCTCAATAGTTAAGCTTCGTGTCGATTGTGGCATGCTGATTTTGGAGTAGCATTTGAATTTGTCTTCCTGTCAATCTTCTTGTACTATGAACAAGCATTCACAAGTTTATGATATCATTTTGGTGCTTGTGCTTGGATGAAACAAACTTCAGTTGATGCCTATCCATTGAAATCTTGAAAACCTGTTGAATAAACATGTACATGACAATTTTGTACTTATCTTTGGAGGAGACTTAATGAGTTCAGTTCTTTGACTGCTAAGGAGCCTTATGATCATAATTCTGAGTGGGGGAATGATCAATCAATCAATTTTTGATGAGAAATTTATTTGTAATGCTCTAACACCCATGCAAATTGAAAGGGAAGAGATGGCTTGTGAAGAGGCTGAGCTTGGACCAGAAAAATTTGCAGAAAGAATGCATATGCAACATAAATTACAAGAGCAGGTGAAGATTCTTTGACTTTTAGTTAGAATCCACTGGACAAAATGATTTTACAGAAACGTGAGGCTTAATACTTTTTGCAGCAACTGGAGATGCTAAAATACATGCGCAATTTTCATCTAGATGACCAGTCTGCAGTCCTGGAGAAGGTACGACTTGAACTCTTATATAAGCTATTGTTGCTTAACCACGATTCTTAGCTTGATATTTGGTAAGGTTGACTGTAATCAACCTAAAGTCATGCAGGTTTGAAATCCTTTGGAGATGTAAATCCTCTTCATTTGCATAAAACTTTATATTTATCTGCTAAGTGCCATTTTTTTTTTTTTGGGGGTTCTGTAGATTCAGCAGCAGATGGAGAGAGCCAATTTTGAGATAGAGGCATCAATTTTGTCTGAGGAACAGATTCAAGACATAGTTCGAAGGAGGGTATCGCCTGTTTTCCAGCTCAGATAGCCTAGTTGATCCAAATAGCTCCCTTCTTTTGGTTGTTCGAAATAGCCTAGTTGGTCGACATTGTTCAAAGGAGGGTATTCCTTGTTTTGCTTGGGCTGGAGGGTGGTTGTTGTTTCTTTTTTTTTTTTGGTTTTGTGCTGTATTTTTGGTTGCTTAAGACCGACAGCCTAGTAATCCTCGTGTATTTTTTTTTTAAACTATCTTAACCTATTCCTACTAATATTTTATGGGGAGGGGAAGCCTAAACAGAGACTGGTTGCACTAGTACAGTCTCTCTGTATATTTTAAGAATAAGAAGCACTATGATTTTTGTGTGATGTGTTAGGCGGGGTTTCAACTCTTGACTTGATGCACAAAAACAAAGGAGTTGTTCTTGATGATTGGATTAAGCTCAATAGTTAAGCTTCGTGTCGATTGTGGCATGCTGATTTTGGAGTAGCATTTGAATTTGTCTTCCTGTCAATCTTCTTGTACTATGAACAATGACTTTTGCCTTTTTGAGGAATCGACTTTGATCGAAGTAATGCCTCTAATGAAGTGAAAAAAACCAGATAATTAGCAGTAAAACGGGATCCTTCCTTAACTCTTTATTTGCGAGAAGGGAAAAAGAATCAAAGCAGTTTTAGTGCCCCCTAGCTGATTGATTTTGCTCGCCGCCGAATGTTGCCTTGGCGGTCGTTTTTTTGGATTGAAAACGTCATTTAAATACATAGGAAAATTTAGAGAAGATGAGCAAGGCGTGGAGATGGCCGAGTTGGTCTAAGGCGCCAGATTAAGGTTCTGGTCCGAAAGGGCGTGGGTTCAAATCCCACTCTCCACAGCGCTCTTCTATTTTGGGTGGGTGGCGTTTTTTCTTCATTTCGGTTTTATTTTATTTTGGTCCGGCTCTCTATTGAGAAGCGATAAGGTTTCAATATCCATCGGTCATTTTTTCCCCCTTCCCTCCTCCGCTCCCCTTTCAACGTAGGATTGCCATTGGAGCTGCTGCTTCTGCTGCATATTTTCTTCCCCAGTAGACCGTAGGTAATTGCAAGTAGATCCCTAAAAACTCAACCACATAATTGCTGCTGCTGCGCACAGAAATTGGCTAGAAGTTCCTAAACCCTGACTAATTTTTTTTTTTCCCTTTTAACTCGAGAAATTGTGGATTTGGCGGGAGTAATGGCAGTGGCTAGCATGAGTTTGGATTTAGTAGTAGGGTTTAGAGGGCTATCACTAGGTTCCAGCTCATCGTCGTCATCCACTTTTCTCAGAGGAGACTTTGGAACCATTCACGTCCCTCCCAAGGTCACCGTCTCATTTCCATTGAATGCTCCGTTGACGATTGAGTCCGCTCACAAGAAAGGTGCCGGAAGCACCAAGAACGGACGAGACTCCCCCGGCCAACGCCTTGGTGTTAAAATCTACGGCGATCAACTTGCCAAGCCCGGCGCCATCATCGTCCGTCAGCGCGGTACCAAGGTGCGTGTATCTTTTTCCCCCATGTTCCTACTCTTAAATCTGATTCTTTCTACATTTGGCTTATGATTCCTAATTGCTAGCATGCATTTATACTGAATTACTTAGGAAGGCATAACTTTGCTTTCTGCAATTACTCTTATGCTGAAATGTATGTAGATGCCTGTTTCTAGCTGCCATTCCTTCCCCATTTATTTTTTCAAGACGCACTCTGCTTGCTATCCTCAACTCTGCGTTCAAGTACCTACCTTTCTTATTTTCTCAATTAGGATATTAAATTGAGAGATCATGCTCAAGTAAGGTAGCCATGACATCCTGGTTCCTGGTATATAGACTCTTTTGAGTCCTCCTCATTCCCCTTTCCACTTGTAAGCCTTGGAGTCTCCCTCAGTCGCTTGGGACTGGGGGGAAAATATTGCAGTTGATTTTGTTGAGTGTGCTGGGAATAGAACAACTTCCCAAAGTAAGATCTTTGCTAATCTTCTGGAGTCAAGAAACCATGGACCAGTTAGTATATGGTGAGTCTTTTATATATGATCTCCGCCACTATAAATTGATCACTGCATACAGGAAGGCAATAAGGAAGATCTTGAAAAGCTCAATGTTGATAAGCATTGTAGAGATACAAACCCTCTCAGCATAAAGTTAATGAAAAGTCTACAAAATCTGAGTTTTTATTAATAATTTATTTATGGTAATGGAAAGTTTGACTAGATGTTGGAATGACAGATACTGGGATGGTTTGCCTCTCCGGGGTGTTGTGTTCTTTTTGCTTCTAATTGATGCGCACAGCCTGTTTCTTTGGCCTATTTCAATTGCTCAATTCCTTCTACACCGCTTGACCTTTCTCCTTGTAATTTCAGTTCCATCCAGGAAAGAATGTTGGAATCGGCAAGGATCACACGCTATTTTCCTTGATAGATGGACTCGTTAAATTTGAGAAGTATGGGCCAGATAGGAAAAAGGTCATACTTCAGCCATAATGCTCCAACTTATAGCAAGTTAGTTCAAACTTTAGCATGATCAATTTTTTCTGTTTGTTAACTTATAGGTGAGTGTTTACCCGCGGGAATTGCAACCTGAAAATGCTAACAGCTACAGGGCACGAAAGAAAGAGTCCTTCAGATTACAGCGTGAGCGAAGGAAAGCCAGAAAAGAAGCCAGAGAAGCGAATCTCATGGAGCCAGAGTTGGTACTTGCTTCAATTGGTGAAGCCTCAGAAACAAATCCAGTTTGTTGACCTTGATAATTTGGCTTATTAATTTGAAATTAAGCTCTTGATGTCCTTGTAATCCAGAATCATGATCTGGACATTTGCATTAGCTTTGTTTTTCCTTCGTCTTTGTTGTACTGCTGAATTTGATCAAGGAAGTACAAATCTGCTGAATTTCATCTCCCTATCAATACATTCTGGCTTCCTTAACATGTACAGATTTAACAGAAATCCATGTTGAAGAGTTTCTTTGCAAGCACACGAGACCTTATGGAGACAGGTTATGGGATTGTAACTCTCCAAGAGAACAGTTGGGCATGATCCCTCGTCTTGTTCCAAATTTTTGCACGTATCTCAAGTTAATCAACGGAGGTAAATGCTGAACTGACAGTAGTAGAATAAGTGTGATGAACAATATAAACTTGATTTGATCAAAGCTATTTGTTCAGCATCAAAATGCTACTGATATCAATCAAAAAGTCTGGTATTCAGTTAAAGAGAGAAAGAGTGGCTACTCAGGCACAAAGCATCTTTTGTGTGTCACCAACTGGCTGCTCTTGTAACCTTAGAGAGTGTTTGCTTGCTATCGCATCCAGACAGCCTGCAAATTGCAAAGGTACCAGTTAATCGACACTGCAAAATCAGTTGGTTATGTAGGAAAATACAAACACCGATGTACTTGAATGACGTGTATGGAACAATTAATGGGGGAAGAAAGAAAATGATCCTTGCTTCTCTTCACATCTAGTGTTCTTCATACAAATTTTGCCCAACTGTGATGGAAGTGTCACACCCTACGGTATGCATAAATCTATTTTCTTCCCTATGAGTTCTAGTTTCAATGAGAATGCTAGTTCTTACTGTTCATATATTATGATATGAATATACCACACCACTTCGTTATGTATGGATGATGAGGATTCCATTGATACAGAGCCAATTCCAATAGACTTATTGGAATTTGCCCAATTGACACATATGAAGGAATTAATGTTGGACTTACAGGATCCTTATCAATTCATGCGACGATTAGCCATTGGGGATCAATTGATTCTTTCCGGAGAATTAGATAGTCTTCCTGAACAGGCTGTTTATTTGGTAGGTAATATCGATGAATCTATCACGAAGGTTATGAACTTAGAAATGAAGAACAATTTGAAGAAATGACCTTAAATCTTTGTGAGCTGCGGCTAAAGTTGCAAAAATAAGAGCTTGAATACCACTTGTAAATATTCCAAGGAGCATGACAGGTATAGAAACCACTAAAGGTACTAAAGAAACAAGAACAACAACAACCAATTCATCAGCTAAGATGTTTTCCAAAAGTCGAAAACTAAGCGATAAAGGTTTTGTGAAATGAAGTCAAATTTGGAGCATTCCAAAAAATTGGGGATCCAACTATAACATATTACATGCAAAATTGAAGGAGGTGCAAAACATAGAAACTAAATTTAGAAATACAAAGGAAAATATATAAATGAAACACAAGCTATTGGACGTAGAGATTTCCATCCCGACTTCCCATTGACTAAATCAAGGTAACTATTAAAAGGTAATCCACTTAATTTGATATTGGTGGCACAGTGAAATAATAGATGAACGCCAAATGCAGTATACATTTCAACCATCAACAATGTAAATATCTTATTATGCAACATTAAATCAGCACATTTTTGGAAAGATATATGGCAAAGACAAGGAAGACATCCAAACGCATAGCTGTAATATGTATAACTTGAATCCATCTTCAGTGGTAACTGGTCTGCTGTTTTCCACCTCGAAAATTTTCTTGCTTGCAGTGTGCATCAACATAACTGAAGACAAGATTTACAGGGTCTAACCTCAGACAGGGGAGCAAATTGGCAGAATCCCTTTTATAACTCAACCCGAAAAAAAAATGCAAATTAAGTAGGAAAACTAAATAGTGAGCCAATCCCATAAAATAGCCGTAATTTATCAGATGCCAGTAATGTTAATAGGTGACACCAATAATAACAATGATGATGATGCTGATAAAAAGAGTGAATTATGGGAGAAACAAAATACCCAGATCTGTGGGGAAAGAGAGTCAGGCAGATCCGACGATGATGTTATTGATGGGGATGAAGATGAGCTTGACGAAGAATCCAACGAATCCCATCACCACGAATCCTATCGCTGTACGCACCGCAACCTTGGAAAATTCTACACCACTCGGCAGCAGAGAAAAGAAGTGGGTGAAAGCCTTTCTAAACAATAAAATACAGTATCATCCCCCCAATCAATTGAGTTCTAAACCATGTTGAGAACTTATCATCAGATCCATCCTCGTCCAACTTACGACAAACGAAAAAGAAAAAAAAAAGTCTAACATCTTAAGATACAGTGCTACTCCGTGTGCAGTAATTTTTTCAAGCAGGAAAGTATTGTTAAACAGATATAGTACTAGTTGATACCTTTGCGGTCGGGCTTGTGGCAGCGCTTGACCAGACGAACGCTGTCCTTGGCGAAATCCCTCAGCGGATCGAAAACTGAATCCAACGCATCCATTCTTTTTTCCTCCCTTTTGTTTGGCAGCTACTCTCTCTCTTCTTCTGTGCCTTTGCCTTCGGCTGAAAATCTCAATCTGTCTGCACTAGCTCACAAGAAAACCAAAATGACCTCCCTCTTCTTAGAAGAAGTTAAAAGCCCCCGTACCGAGCAAGTGTTTGATATCTCATTGTTTTAAATAATATTTTATTTGAATTATAAATATATTTTTTATTATTTTTTATTATTTTTTATTTTATATATATCACATTATAAAAATATTATAATAATTATTTTAAATAATACCCCATCCAAATAAATTACTTTACTGGAAGGAAGAGGAGGCAGAGTGGGGATGGCGTGCGTCTGCTTCCCTTTTAATGTCGTGTTGCGTAGAAAATTGATTGGCCCTACTCCTTATTCTAAATTTTCTTTTTCCCGTCAATTCCGTCCAAAAAAAAAAACTCATCAATCTGACGCTTAATTTGTCTTCGAACAAATTTCCCAATATGCACAAGCATTCAATTTTACGGACGCTAATCTATCTATATCTATATAAATTTGAGAAGGGATTTTTAGCAACAAGCATTCACAAACCTTCCCACTCTCAATTCTATTTTTCTAACATTTTACATTTAATTTATTTCGTAAAAAATATCATAGGTACGTTACATCTCCACGTTTCCCTCAACAAGAAGTTAACTCCAACTAACACTCCCACGTTTCCCTCAAATAAGAAGTTAACTCCAACTAACACTCCTCACCCACCTTCCTACTACAATAAATATTTTCGCAGATCATCTCCATGAAGGCAAGGTATACTGGTTTCAAAATATATATGTAATTCCGGCAGATCTTAAATATCGGCTTGCACCACATTAGTACCAATTATCATTTGGAAACAATACGAATATAGTGAATATTTTAGATGATTGTGGAATCATACCTCGTTTCAAGTTTAATCTGGTCAAACTAAGAGATACAGAACAACACATGGACAATGATTTGCAATTGATAGGTATTTCATTCTTAATTAACCATACTTCTATTTAAGTTGTATATTTGAACTGGTATTGCTTATACTATTTGATCTTTTGTAGATGTAATTGGTTTAGTTGTATCTGTTAGTTCACACTATCAAACATCTATCAATGATAAAACCAAGTGTGACATACTTTTAGTTGACAAAAGGTTAGTTAATAGATTCAATATCTTTAAAATATTTTATATTCTCCAAATTTTGATTTATACTTACCAAAATTCTCTAAATGAAGTTTGACAGTAGTTCGGTTGACTTTATGTGATAAATTTGCAACTGATGATGGTGAACACTTGCCTCAAACTGTTACAAAACACAATGTTTTGCTAGCCTATGGTATTTGTGTGAGAAATTATAAAGGTAATTCAATTTATTTTTCACTTTATTTTATTTTATTTTTATAGTTTTTCAATAATATAGCACATTGTGTAGGACCGTCACTTTATACTATTCGAGCAAGCAAATTGTATGTCAATTATTACTTGGATTTTGCTCAATACCTACACAGTTGGTAAGTTTTACAAATATCAAAATATTAAATTATTAATAATATTTCATACCCTTACGAATATTTATTTGAAAAATTTGCAGGTTTGAGAATGATAAATATGCTCAGAAATTAGTGACGTGGTTGCGGTCATGCAATTTTACAATGTCCCAAGCATTGTTGATATTAAATGCTAAGAGAATATCGATATCCGAATGTGCAGTTCTACCTACGTTACAATCCCTCTCAATTAATTAAGTAATGAACAAGTATCTACATGTAGTTTCGAATTAATAATTGTAATCTATACATTCTTTGGATCGTTTTAGGTTAAATATTTTCGGATACTTGCTTACATTCAAAGTATCAACATAGATAATATGTTCCATGAGTTATGCAAAAATTGTGGACAACTATGTTAATCTCATTTTGTAAAAATGGTGTGTATACATTGTAATGATGTAGTCGACATTATTGTCAGGTAATTATTTTCATATATTTTGAATTTTAATATAATTTTTTGCATTATACATCATAATTTTTTTTGTAACAGATACAATGTTAATATAGAAGTTAGAGATTCCAGTGGTAACCTATACTTCACTCTTCAAGACAAGCATGCACAATTCATGTTTCGTTGTAATGTTTCTTATCTTAGAGATTTAAAAACAAAGGTATACATTATTTATATGTATATATTTTTATATAATATTATTTACAAACTGTCTAAAACAAAATATAATTTTGAATTATGTATGCTTTTAATTGTCAGGAAAATAGAGGTGCATTGTTCAACCAACACATTAATTCATGCAAAAATCGTGCATTCTCATTTATAGTACGAACTTCACAAAAATCAACAGAATTAATTAAACCCCCAATACTGGCGTTCGTACTCAGAGGTGATTGGTATGAATAATGTTCACACCTTCGTAGAAGATTATCAAATCAAAGGCAAAATGTTTGTAAGTATTTCATTTACTTATCAAATTAAGTATTCAATTATATTTAATTGGACCCTTATTTCGCTCAATTTACGATATAGACTTCTATTTTTTTTCAGGATCCAATATTTATCAAAGTGATAATTTATAAATAACGGAGATGTTTTATCATATATTGAACTATTGTTACAAAGTTTCATTTTTTTAAATATACTTTCATGTGCCCGTGATTATAATATTTTACTTTTTTTAAATTTCTCCATAGATTGTAATTTTTTAAAAAAATATAATATACTGTGCGTAGCACGGGCATTTATACTAGTGTATGTAAATGTAAATAATACCCATATCCGTCCCTTGATTTGGTCACCTGATGAGTAGTAGAACCGTAAAATAATGGAGTAATACTTGAAAGCTAATTTGAGACTTGCATTGGATACGGGTACATCAACTAAAAAATATATTTTCAATTACATTCTTATTATCTTATTAACTAATAATACATCAACTAGCTTCTTTTTTTCTTTTTTCTTTTTTAACTCGCAGACATAAATTAATATTGCAAAAAGTACACTAATTATTCCAAATAATTTTTCAAATATTCTGCTATCCAACAAGATTAGATTATCTCCAGCGGGAAAATCGAATACAAAGGCGGAGTCTGAGATTTTATATCAGTCCACGATTACAAATGGAGTTAAAAAGTCCTTTGTGTGTCTTGTGTCTGTCTCAGAATAGCAGCCAATTAGTTAGCGAAGTGGGAGTAGTACTAGTAGATGGCCATTTCTCTCAGTGAAGCAAAGTCAAATAGCACTACATAACTTCACAGAAGATCCCACCTCCGAAGGAAATGAACGAAGCCCATGCATGCAAGCAAACTCCAGTCTCGGCGAGTCCTACTACTGCATTCCAGGCTGTCGCAGCCATACTTGAATTGCCGTCAAAAGAGGATATAGATACCTTTATCCTTCAATTCTACACAACCAACTCGAAAATAGAGGCAAATCATGCCGTTGTCGACAAATCATGCCGTTGTCGACCAACAGACTCGTAATCAAAAGGGGATTCCGCCTTTAACTCCTTCTGGCAGAAGACTCTGGTTCCTTCGCCTGCCGAACAGCCCGAGGAACAAATGTCAATCCACGATTATGGCGGCGGCCAAAACTTATGGATGAGGGGGAGTCAGAAGTGCTCAATTTAGAGACAGCTGAAACAAGGTTGTCCATCGTGTCTTCCTCCATTTGCATAGCTCTTGAAGCAGCCTCTTTCGTTCCGAATGCTTGTTTATGCTGGTCTTTTTTCCTTTGTTTCTTTGATGGATGGGCCTTCTTGAAGAACTCAAACGAAGTCGGAAATTTATGCTTATCAACCAAATGTTGTTGCCGACCTTTGTAGCTCTTCAGCTTTAGACCACAACCTTCGACAAGACATTCATACTATCGTGCCAAAGAAAACAACACTTGTTGTCAATAGTTTGTGACGAACATATTGCAAGGTAAGCAGATACATTCCTTTGAGCAAATATTTACCATTGCAAAACCACGGGCGACTTTTGCCTGAAAGAAAGAATCATGAACTTCAGAGACATGAATGCTTAGCAGGCGTGACGTAGGATAAACCCTTGAGCAGACCGAACAAGCTGCAGAGTGCCGTGAAGTATAGTGATCTTCAAACTCATCCAAAGATCTCAAATGTGCGCCACAACCAACAAGTGGGCAGTATAATTTACTGTCAATAACCGGAAAACAATGAAATTAGCATGCGTATGATCAGACAAGTCGTGTCTTAGAAAAGGTGCATTCAGATACCCTGAAGTGCGTGGTGCATTCAATTTCAGATAACTGAAAGTGCACCAAGGTAATCTGAAGTGCGTTATATGCATGATTAGATGCTCCATACCATCTTAAAGGAGCAGTGGCAAGACCAAGAAAATCCAGCTTCTATACATTCTTTCGCATGGGAAACTGGTAATCTACTCTTTGTTTTATGCTAAAAGGGCATGGCGTAAAGAAAAGAATACCGGTGAATAGAAGCTACCATTCATAGGAGGGAGGAGGAGGGAACATCAGGAATGTGGAAAACATTATTGAAAAAAAATCTGTGTTAACAGTCCCAATGGCAGAGCCAAGTCAATCTAGTGTAATGATGGATTTATGGTCTAGGTAGGTAGGCAAACAAATGCATTTTCAAACACACACAAGTTAGGTGGCAGAACAACTAACCTGCTTTCTTCATCTTCCATATTGCGAAACTGCAGCTTCTCTTCTTCGGTCAAATCCAATGCAACCTGGATAAATAACAAAATACTGGTCCATTCACAAACTTTCATATTTCTTCTTCTTCGATCGAAAGCCGAAAATTGGAGTCATCATAAACATCCTCACCCAACATAAACATAAGCATCACAGATTCCCTTTAACATATAAAAATTAAGACACGAATCTCCCCACCCCCACCCTCCCCAAAAAATCCCAAAAAAAAAAACTTTTGGACACCAGGTCAGAATTAAGCTGAATCTAATTCAGTATTTGCAGGCATAAATAATCATCACAATCCACGAATATGCTAATTCATGCATCTGAAAGTCGAAAGAAAATTACCTGTTTGGCAAGGAGCTCTCTTTCGACGTTGCCGGCAGCGAAGAATGAAGATTCCGGGTCGAACCGTCGTCTAATCGGACTCCAATACGGAAACTTAAGTTGATCTTCTCTGCTTACTTCTACCTCCGTCGCCATTTTCACTTTAAGAACAATCTAATGATTTTGCCCTCCTTCCACTTCAAAATATTGGAAAAGGTTTTTGGTTGGGTGTTTGGGGGACAGAAGATGTAACCATCACTGGATTTCAATGTCGGTTGGGCTTTGACAAATTTTAACTTGGCCGAAAACTGCCAGGTTTTCTTCTTAACCTTGGGCTTTTCAATGTTAGCATTGGCTAACGACGTGAGCATCCGAGTAGTTACTACATACATGTAATTTTTCTTGGAAGGCTTTACAATACTACGGACAATATACTTGGAGCCTTTGACGAAAAAAAAAATTTATTATTTTTTTTGTTTAAGCAAATGACAACTATCATCATCATCGGCAAAGCATAAACAGAGGAATACAAAATTCCAATATAGAATTCAGATTGGACATTCATCTCTTTAGCCATGGATGTCTAGGGGAGGGGGAGCCGACGAGATTTTTGCGTCGGAGGAAGCCACAATTAAGTGGCAATATGGGAGGTCAAGGGTTGTTGGCGGTGTCCTTCTTAGCATTGAAGGCCTATTTTAACTTTGAAAAAAAAACACTCTCCTTTTTTTTTTAAATGAAGTTCCAATATCCCAAGCATGCATCAAGTGGGGTCAATTGACCCTACTTAACTTTGAAAAAATTAGTTCTTAGGCTTAGGAAATTTAAAAATTTTAAAGTTGCATCTTATTTGATCCCACTATATTTTATCAAATTCTCTTTCCTATATACATTGACCCCAAAAATTGAAAATTCATAATACGTACCATCACAATAATTTTGAATTTATTGCAAATTATCTATGAAAGTTAGCTCAAGAATAAATTCATCTAAAATTTCCAAACACAAGGGTTGAACTTTCTTGAGTAGAGTGAGAAAACCAATTCGTCTAATCATTTTTTTTGTCAAACTTCAAAGTCTTCAAAAACAAGAATTATTCAAGTGAATGGTAAATTTTTTATTTATAATACGAAATTAAGTTATTATGATTTTTATTTATAATAGGGTAAAGATAAATTTTATAAAAGAAACCCTATAATAGATCAAGTTGATGGTGATTCGCAGATTATTTAAAAAAATCAAGAGGTTCAGTTACTTACATTGAAAAAGATGCATTTAACAAAATTGATAATGAATTAATTTTGCAACATTTTTTTTAAAAAAAAAAAAAAAAGAGAGAGTACTCGTAGGGTATAATTATAACATGTATATAATCTTAGTAGTGTTTATTTTTTTAAAAATAAATTTTACTGTACTAAAATTTGATCCCACTTACTGTGGGGTCTTGGCTCCGCCCCTGATCTTGGTGTTACATTATTGTTCTTAAATCCTCCAGATAGAGTTGAGCAGTTGTTACCAGCTCTTACAATTGCACAGTAGGCTAATCTTCGATAGTCAAGGTCTTGTTTGGATTTTTTTAAATTAAAATTTTACATTTTTTATGAATGCATTTTCCAATCACCATTTTTTACTTCTCGACCTCAGCATTTATAATTGGACTAAGCCAAATAGGCAGTCACAAGTGCCTCGCTATGCTTATTAATTTAACATTTTTAATGCAGGAGGATAATAGAGTTTTAGTATCACTTTTACCTGTTGCGTTCTGACCCAATCGAATCGAGGAATTATAAAAAAAAACAAACAAAACAAATTTTTTTTTTTAAAAAAAAAAAAGAAGAAGAAGAGATGAAAAGCAGGTCTCGGAAGATATCAGTCCTAAAAATTAGAATTGGGATGCAGTGACCAGGAAGTTACACCACACGAGGCCGTGACAAGGCTTTGAGATTGGAGTATGAACGCGTGGCCGTGGAAGTCGTTGCGATTTCATTTTGAAGCAGTTGTTACTTGTTAGTACTTAAAAATTGAAGCTAAAATTCTACTTGTCACTGTTGTCAAATTACTAGTATAAATTATGACCCGTGAAAATGAAGTCTCGAGTCAGCGCCTCTCTCTCTCTCTCCATACATACACACACACACAGTCACTACCAATGCTCCATGTATAATAATACTCCGTACGTATATTCTTGGTAGTTGGTGGTGCATGCATGGTATATTAGCACCCGAATGCACTTAAACAATTGGCATGACCGACATTTAGTATGAGGTATCTATCAATCAAGAACGTTAGCAACAAGAACAAAAACAAAATGGATCTTGTTGCTGATGATTGCAAGCAGGATTCGTTACAACGTCGTTTTCTCCGGCCTGAAGAACGAGTTTTGGGCAAAGGTAAACCCAATAGTCTCTCGCCAATGTACTAAATTTTACTAGTAGTAGTTGAAAGGATCAAATTTGACTATGAAAAGTAAACTCAACTAGACGCTGAAAACTTCCAAGATCAGAAAAACAACTACGCTTTCTTGCTGAAAGATAAGAATTGTTTGAGGAACCGGTCAGGGTTGAATCGAACAGGCGATTCAGGGAGGGTTACTGGCTATAATAATAATAATGTTTTAACGGTTGACTTAAAAGAAGCTATAATAATGTAATTAAATTCTTGAAGAGTACCACCACAAACCAACAATCTACTATTAATAAGTTAACCAAGTAGTAATTTCTTAGTATGTCATTGAGATTTTAGCGTGGCCATCCCGCATCTCTCCTCCTCCTCCTATTGGTTGTTTCTATCCGCAGCACCACCACCACCACTACCAGTTCATATATATATACACATATATATAAATGAGACTTCTGAATCGAGGAAGACAACAAAATATGAAGTCTATTTTTGGAGTCTTGCTTGTCTTGATGGTGATGAGTATTGGAGAGGCGGAATTAAAGGAGAACTTCTACAGTTCCAGTTGCCCAAATGTGGAAAGCATAGTGCTGCAGGCAGTGAATGCCAAGTTGGCTGAGACTCAGACATTTACTCCGATTCCAGCTACTCTTCGTTTGTTTTTTCACGACTGTTTTGTCGAGGTAATTGCTATTAGTACTTGCTACTATATACGTACTTGCTAGTTGACTTACTACTACTACTACTAATATACTGGTAAGTATTCAACTGGTGATTTAGCTGCTTGAGCCATCTCTCCATCTTCAGCTAATCCAGTTTCAAACAAATGAAAAAATTAAGAAATTATTAATGGAATACATTAATTTGTTTTTGAGTTTTTTTCTCTGCTGCCAGGGGTGTGACGCCTCTGTTCTCATAGCTTCACCAAATGGAGATGCAGAAAAAGATGCTCCTGATAATCTCTCCCTCGCTGGAGACGGTTTTGACACCGTTTTCAAGGCCAAGCAAGCCGTGGAGGCTGAGTGCCCTGGGATAGTTTCATGTGCTGACATTTTAGCCATTGCTGCGAGAGATGTTGTAGTCCTGGTAAAAAAAAAGCAAGCGCTTTTTTTTTTTTTTTCTCAAAGTTTTTAACTAATTCACCCCCCTGCAAGGCTGCAACCAGTCACATCAATCGCAGGCTAATAGTTTGCTTCCGCAGCTCGTAGTCTTACAGAATCCTGATGATGAACTTACTTTGGTTTCAAAGATTTGCACGTGTAACCAGCTATCTGATGATCTCTTCAGGCTGGATGCCCTTCGTTCAGTGTAGAATTGGGACGTCGTGATGGATTGATTTCTGCGGCATCCCGAGTTGCGGGAAATCTGCCAGAACCCACTGATGATGTCGACCAACTGACCGCCCGCTTTGCCGCCAAAAATCTTAGCCAGTTGGACATGATTGCACTCTCGGGTGCTCACACCATCGGCTTTTCTCACTGCACTCGTTTTGCAAACCGCCTCTACTCCTTTACCCCTTCCAACCCCATCGACCCTTCCCTCGACCCAAATTATGCCCAGCAGCTGATCCAGGAGTGCCCCCAAAATGTGGATCCCCAAATTGCAGTCAACTTGGATCCCACAACCCCAACCATTTTCGACAATGTTTATTACCAGAACCTCGTAGGAGGAAAGGGCATGTTCACTTCGGACCAAGTGCTCTTTACCCATCCATCAACTAAGCCTGCTGTAACCAATTTTGCCAATAGTCCTTCCCGCTTCAATGCTGCCTTCGTCGCAGCAATGAGAAACCTCGGCAGGGTCGGTGTCAAAACTGGCAGGCAGGGAGAGATTCGGAGGGACTGCACCACCTTCAACTCGTGACCATCCCCAAAAGTAAAACACAACCATTTGATTGAACTACAAAATCTGAAATAGTAACTCAGAAGTGGCCATTAGTAACTCAGACTGGAACAATGATAAGAACTGTGAAATAGTGAATGGAAGGAATGATCGCAGCATCTCTCTTTGCTCCCCATGGTTTGAAATAATATATCAGTATCCTTTGTTAAACCATTCCCATGCATGTGAGTGAGCCCATCTTCGTTTTTCAAGCCTGTCAGTGGGTGAAGTTCCAGCTAAATGACGTCCTTGTTCCTATTGACCCTAATTTCAACTGGTGTCTACATTAAAATTGGTTGGATGGCATATCATCCATCGATTACCATCATTGGGCATATTCCCATTTCACAAGGATTCCTAATGGAGATCAACAAGAAGGATATCCACAATGAAGTAGTACCGTTTGATTTAGCATAAGAACGACTGCTGCAACGGTAGTTATATTCCCTTCCCCGAAATGTTAACTGAGTTAGATATCCATTCTATCCGGCTATGCTACTAATTCTCAGAAAAACCCTGAAAGACGGATATTCAATTAGGATTAATCAGTTGTAATCCCACTTTCTCATAAGACTAAATTACCACTGGTACCAGCACAAAAATCTAAATAACTGAACATCTGAAGGCAAAGGACTTTCTTGGAGAACAGAAGCAGCTTGTGCATTAGTTCCAAACTGACTTGCACTCAAAGTACCGTTTCTCCCTCTTTATATATATATATTTTGGACATGATCTAATTTAAGTCTAAGAAAATCACACTGAAAAAACAAGAAGAAATCTGCACTGTCTGGTACTCGAAAAAGAATAACCAACTCCACCACAATGCTACTCAATAGCATAACAATGACACTAAGGCATCTACTTTCTTGCTTGCTGTGTCTGGGACGAGTGCACTGGAATACTTGCACAAATACATCTCGAAATACAAGTTGGAGAAGGTGAAATGCTTTACGAACTTGCATAGGGTACAGAGACTCTTCCTGTTCACATGCTTCATTGGCAAGTTATGTACGGGATTTTCCATACAAATTAGCATAGACAACCCTAGTCCGATACACGAGAATCATGCTCAGAAGAACTGCAATAACACAAAGTCCAGACATAATCATGGAAGTCAAGAAGAAGCAAATAGAACCATCACATTTTAAAGGCTCATCCAGAGAAAGAACGGTCGATAACAATGATCGTGCAACTTGTGGACCATGATGGTGCTCCTGGGCTTGCTTCTCAGCCTCTGTGTCATATATACTGCTGGCAATAATGCCTGAGAATACCAATGACCCAGCAGGGTTCGCAAGAGTCAGAAAGTTGTATAGAGCACCAAACTTTTTCAAGCCGAACAACTCTGAAGCAGCAGCCGGCACAATTGCCCAGTGGGCTCCATAGCCAAGCCCAACCAAAAGAGTTCCGACATACATATCCCCAGGCCAACCCATAGCAAAGATGAAATGTCCAATTGCCATTATGACTTGGGCAACAGCCATGGCGACTGGCCTTGGATAAGCATAGTCCCTGTTTTATTATCATGACAAGGTTGCATCAGGGGAAGAATTACTCAGAACAAAAAGGGGGGGGGGGTTCTTGCTTAACCTCCTGCAGAAGTGGACAAGAAGATTGTTACCTGACTATCTTTCAGAAAAGTAACCACCACCAATGCGACCAAGGAAGTTCCAAATGCTGATCATGGAAACAAATACATGCGTGTTATCATACCCCAAAGACTGGCTCATCTGACCCAGATTATCAATCACAGTTAAACCAGATCCAGAACCCAAGAGAAGGGAGAAAAAGATAAGCCAAAAATCAGCCTTTATCAAGGCCTGGGTCAAGGTGAAATCTTCCCCTCTATGTGGGCCCCTTCTCCTCTTAACCCTTACAGCTCCTTCTGCAGCTGCTTGGGCTAGCTTGGCTTGAAGCTGGGCAATTCTCTTTTGCCTTTCTGAAGCTGGAAGCATATCTACTTCCCTAGGTTTTTCATCTTCAACTTCACTAAAAATGATTTCATGATTATCATTAGCAGATTTTCCAGGCTCTTGTTTTTCTGGCTCAGTTGGCAGAAGGGGATCTTCTGCTGGAACTCTTGGCTCTTCACAAAAGCTCAATACGACAGGGATTGCAACGGGAACTATGAGGAGTACAAATAGAATCAGTGTGAAGATTGTGATAACAGTGTGGCTCAGATCAATCAGATCTTCAACAAGCATTACCCCCATCAAGTAAGCAGCTAAAATTAGGCATATGCTATAGATGAAGGAGAAGCATAATCCATCAGTTGAGCGGATTTGTTTGTGACCGCCAACAGGCCTGACAATGAACATGAAAGCCAAAATCACCATTGCTGGTCCTACTGCAACCATAAACACGAGTGAAGCATGATCTGGGGAGTGGATGACAGCATATATTTGAGTTAAGATAGCACCACCCAAACCAGCAAATCCTTTTAGGATACCAACTACAGGACCACGACTTTTTGGGAAGTTTTGCACACATGATACTAGAGCTGCAGTATTAAAGTAGGTCTCACCATTTGTGCCGATGAATATCAGTATGCACATCTGAAATTTTTAAGGGGAAAAATGATTCACACCTAGTTGAGGTAGTCGATGAAAAAAATTTGAAAGTTTACTTAAGCATTAAAAAGAAACTATAAATTCAAACAGGATGCTTGTTATATTTCAGCTTATGAAACAAATGTGTCACCTCCAGATCAAGCAACCAGTTGGATCTCAGTCCAGTCATTCAACCAATGCTCATCTATCACAACCCAAAATAAGATGAATTCTACTGACAACTGATGTCTCTTTTTATGCAAAGTTATACAATTCATCCTCTTTACTTTGGACAAACTCCTTGTGGTGATTGAACATTTACTTGAACCCAAAAAAAAAAAAGATTAAACAGGTACGCTTATGAAAAAAGAGCAAAAGAGCTCATTTCCATCTTCAATGCATTTTCTAATTGAATTTTGTAATTTATGGGATTGAATCACCAATTATCTTCATAATTCATCTTTTTATGGCATTTAAATTTGGCAACGGATATTTCTTCCAATTCCACCAGTTTCTGTTCTTTGCAAAACTGGGAAATCTAATATATGTACCACAATCTCTTAAGCCAGAGCAATTCCAACATACAATGGGCAAAAGATTTACTTTTCATTAATATAATGCCAAAAGAAAACTTTCCATAGCATGGTTGCAGCAACCTGATAGAAAAGATACAAGACACTCATAATTAAAGGTATGTGCCATGACAGGAAAGGAAAAAGTATAATCATGGTCTTGTTTATAGTAAATTGTAATTGTTTCTCATCATCCAACAACTAACATTCTGCCACCAAAACAAATATTTTTGAGAGCAAAAGATTTTGAAAACATTAAGGGAAAGCAAAGAGAATGGTGCTCTAAAGCACTTTGTCAATGGCAATGTCCAGAAAGATTGGTATATGAACAGATAGACAATGCAGCTTCATGAGCGTATTAGGAAAGAGCCATTTTCCAGTCAAATGAACTTGTGATGCCCAATATCATAATTGACCAAACTTCACGTCAAGCAAAGTCCACGCCCTTTAGAGGATTTATCATTTACTACCATAATTTATGTTATCTATGAGAAATTTGTGGCTAATCATTGAGGCCAGCTATGGAATCCATCTCTGACAGAAACCAAAACAACGTGGGCGAAGAATTGTAGCAGAGAAGAGGAATTTTAAAAGAAAAAAAAAATCGCACGGTAGAAGGTAACCCCCACTCCTCAATCCCCGCATGCAGAACGCCCCAGGATATTCACCATCCAAAGCACAATCAATCAATGAAAGCAGGAAGAAAGCGGAATTTGAAGTAACGGTTGTTATCTTAAAAATGCCCAGCTTGAACAATTAATTGCACACGCAAGACTCCCGACTCGATCTCTGAGACAGATCAAAAGACAAAAAGATACATTCGCAGCTTCCATAATGGTGTGGTATCGACTATCTAATGAACGGTTCCAAAATCGTGTTTCGGTTGAGTTGAACGAAACAAGAACCTACCCACACCCAGTTGAAAGTTGATGCATTAGCTTCATATCAGATACGCTTAAATAAGATGAAAGAAATCAAACCAAGAGACTATTCGGGAACATCAAACAAGAGGTGAACGAATGAGAAATGAATTGGATGTTGATGATTGGAAAAAAAAAAAAAAACTCACAGCCCACAGCGGGAGCACAGGAACTCGACCGGTAATGATGAGCCAAACCCAACCGTATCCAACAAAATTCTGAACAGCACCAACAAGAAGGGCCCCCATAGAGGCAATATCTCACACAAACTCCCAGCCAAGAATCCAACACTATCGCCGAGGTCCTTGGCCACCCCGAGCCTGGCAATCTGCCTCTGGTTGTAGTTTAAAGAGGTCTTTATGGTGGGTGATATGCTTCCGAACAGATACCCAATTCCAGCACAGGATTGAATCCACATTGCAGCCACAAATACCAGCCATCTATTATTGACGAACAAACCAAGCCTTTCTTTGAAAGAAACAACCATAATTCTTACTACTACTAATACTTTTCTGTCCAAGTCAACCTAGAATCCCTTTGGGTCTCTGTTAATGTTGTTGGGGAATATCTGTTGGTTGGTTGGTTGTGAGCACCACTTTCAATAGGGGATTTAATGCTTCTTTGGAGGTATTCAAGAAGGGATTTGATGCTTCGTTGGAGGTATTCAAGAAGGGAAAGTAAAAGAAGGCACTTTTTTTTTGGCGTTGCTGGAAGGAGTTTCTTTGTTACTCTTTTAAAAATGGCTGAAAATTGCAGACCGGAGCATGAAAGCCGGGAGGGAAGAAGATAGAAGCTGATGACTCGACTCCAAGGATCAATATATTTAAGAAATGAGTGCACACTATAACCGCCAATATAATATTCTAGAAAGTATGAATTGCCATCGACACTGACAGCCCTGCCTATTTTATTGCGCCATAGTACTATTTTACTATTGTCATTTGTGACTCGCATTTGAAACCCGTCGGATTTTGGATAAATTATGGTATACCGCTCAAGCAAACAAATCGAGTTTAATTGACCAACTCCGTTTATCTAGTTGAATCTGTATATTCATTAGTCCCTAACACAAGTCTGTTTAGGATACCCCTCACCCTATATTAGGATAGAGTAGGTTTCTAATTATTTCACTGGACTCCCTTCAAATTATAAAAATTATACTAATCTTTCATGAGATTAATTATTTTGTAACATTTAAACTCAATCGATTCTATTGTTGCCCTTCATCTACTATATGATTTAATTAATTTAATAACAATCTACACAATAAAGAAATATACTAAATTTTGTTATTTATCATTAGAGATCAAATCATATATAGTATCAAAAAATAGTATATCATATGATATTTTTCACTTAATATAAGATCTAAATTTTTCTTTTCAATTGCAT